ATTCTATAACATTAGTACATATGTAGTAAAATATACAAAGTCATTTGTAAATATGTGAGTCTGAAAGAGCCATCACAAATATCCAATAAACCACATGCCAAATAGGATATATATATATATATCCTATATATGGTGTGTGTATATATATATATATATATATATATATACACCATGTGGTATATATATAATGGTTGACTAGAAAAAATGATATACTTTCTAATATATGTTTATCCCTAACAACTTCAGACTCATTTTAAATTAAACTTACCTATTTGGAAAAAAGTTAAAGTTTGTTGGAGATTTAAGTTGCTACACTTAAATACTATTAAGTCTGATGCCTAAATAATTATTTGTTGTTTTCCAAAAATTCACCTTACTCTTTTCTAGGAATAGTTTGGACTCATTTGCTGTCATACAAAAAATCAAATTAAATGGAAGAAAAGAACTTTTTAAATAAATTTTCTTACTGGAAATTTGTAACATGGTCATCCTATTGTATCTTTTCAACTAAATTATCAGGATTTGCAAATTTAAAAAAGACAATAAGATTTATAAATAAAATCCCAGGAAGAAAGGCTCTTATACCCTGCACACGGTTATTCCAGTCTGTACACTCCATAACCTTTATCAAGTGGAATTGAATTCTGGCATGCATACAAATACATCAAAGTGCCAGAATAAAGTCAAATCAGAATGCTTTTGAAAGAGAATCAAGTTGGCTACCAAATGTTTCGTATCAGTAGGCTATTCCTTTAGAGACTTCTGATGGAAATTTGAAGTGTATGTTAGCATATCAAGTGCAGGAGAGGTATAAGGCTGTTGGAGAAATTCCCTTAGTTTATTGACTAAAAACCCAAAACAATTGTCTTTAACAGTAAAGCTTGACAAGATAATTAAATGAATGATAACAAAATTTCAGCAGGGAATTGCCCATTAATTGAATTTATTTGGGAGCATGTTTTCACAAGTATAACCAAATTATCTAATTTCCACTTACATTAAAAACTGATAGTCTATAACAACTAATTACTAGAAATGAAGAAAAAGGCCAGTACTTTGAACCAACAACACAGAAGAAAACAAACATCAAAGGATTGCCATGGTATTTGAAAGCTTCCTAAAAATTCCATTCATCATTTTGCCCTGTGAAAATCTTTCAGTGAAACTCGCCAAAGAAAAAAAATCCCAGTAATTTTTATGTAGTAATGCCTTTAAAGCTGAAACACATTTGCCACATTCTTTGTATTTTTTCATGATATTAATAATGCGTGTTGGTATGAGTATGTCAACAGGTGAAATAACTTGAGAAGAGTATTTTATAGATATACCATTTGAGTTTTGGCATTTCTTTTCTGTAAGAAAATGAGTGCAGTGTTTTCCTCTTTCATATCACATATCGTTAATTATTTTTAAAAATTTGGTTGCTGTTTTCATGTTGTACAGATCAAAAAAATCTGAATTAAAGAATCATTATGGTCAAAACTTTTAAATTTGAAATAGGAATGAAATCGTTTCTACTTTACTCAGATTTTCTTCTTTAAGCTGTGAGCATGATCTCTCCAAATTCAAATTGAATAGTTTTAATGCTTTAGAAAATGACTTTCCAATTTCCATAAAGCTAATGATGAGCCTTATGATACATCTGTAGTATTCAACCAGATTTTGTTCATAGTTAACATATTCAATAGAAATTTAAAACTGTGAAATCTATCACTTTCATATTTCTAATCCCATACTCTAGAACAACTTTAATCTGTTGATAAACACCTAGTAATAATTTCATATAACAAAACAATCAAATAAAGTCCATTTTGGCTTAATGTTTGTATAAATTCTAAGGAGCCTTGACTATTTGCCATTTAATCTGAGGGAGGAAAATCTGAATTAATAAGTAATGCCAAAAATATCCTTTTAATTTTGTGACTTACTTTTTCTCTAAAGAAAATTGTCTAAATAAATACTTTTTAAAGATATTGGTTAAAATTTAACAATATTCAAAATATTTCTTGCATTTAAAAATTATGTTTCAGCTTTAAAAACAGTTCTTAATGTTCTGTTTATTGTGGGAAATCATTTTACACTCAGAAAACTAGCTGCTCTAATTATAAAACTAACAACTAACATTCATTCACAATGACTTTATCACAACTTGAGAATAGTAATAAAACCTAGAACTGCTTTCTATCTTCCACAAAGTTGAAACTACATTAATTTAGAAAAAAGACTAGGACTATGCTTTGTTTCCTAAATCATTTCCCTAAATTAATATAACATAGATGTCAGTTATGGCATATACTGGTAGATTGATAGATAAATTTAGAGCAACAGATATGCAGATAGATATAATATGGCCATTAATCTAGAATAGAATGCTTGATTTTGCCAAGTGAAGTAATGCATATGAAAGATTTCACTCATATCTTATTTTGTTGCCACTTGTATTTCTTTTTATCTTTTGTTTAATTGGTGTAATAAAAGACAGTTTTCTGGTTAGCAATATTTCAGACGTTAAGCAATTCTTTTTCTTGGTTTTCATTGGCAGTTCCCAGTCTAAAAGCATAACCACATTAGGCAAAACTGCATGTAGACCGCTCTGAGTTTTGAAGACTTTTCACCTCTAACAGAGATTTTCATTTGAAGTTATAGAGTAATATCTACATTTAATTGATAGTTAATAATTGGGAGGGGGAATTACAAGCAAAGAAATTCCTTGATATAGAAGATTTTATCTTTTAGTGTCAGCTTAATATCTTGTTCAGCACTTTTTAATTCTCTTAGGAGGATAACTTTCTGTCCATTACTTTATGATAGTTTAATCACGCTTATATTATGAACCTAGCTATTCTCGTTCCATGAAATATTGCACATTTATTTCCAACAGGCCTTTTCCTTGATGATGAAAATCAGAACCTGTGTTTCTAACTGAAAACAATTGGCACATTTTATTTCTACAACACTTTCACATAAGAGGTATTTAAGAATACAAAGCTAACATTTTTCATGAGTTCCCAGGCTTATAAATTCATAATGATAAATTTCATCAGTTTCTTCTTAGATAACACTTGCCTTTAAATACACATGTGTTTTCTATAGAAGTTACCTATATGTCTTCAAAAACCCAACTGGTCTAGAAAAATGACTCTCTGAGACAGTCATGTTTCTTTTGTTATTTAAAAAAAGACAAAACAGCAATAAACATTTTAGCTCTTTAATGAGCAAAGATCATGTCTCTTAGCATTGGACTAATAGTCATTATCCAGATTATCTTTATTTCACGCGATGACCAGTGACATGGCCAAGATGTACAAAGTTGTTTCCATCAAGTAGTATACAATTTTTTTTTGTATAATAAGCTTTCATTCTTGAAAAAGAGTAACTGAAAAGAAAGGTTTCTGTTACTGCAGTTAGTTTGTCAGAGAAAGTTCTTTGCATTATCTTACAAACTATCAAAATTGCTAGTCATCTGAAAAAATGTAAAAAAAAATCACATAACTTTAGTCTAATAGAAATATAGTACAGGTAAGAGAGAAAGTATTTATCAGGATGTGCTCTTTAAGTCCATCTCAGTTTTGTTTTAATATAAATGTACATCTGATTACATATACAAACATTTGGAAAGGTCTGTGATATACTGTTACTGGTAAACAACAGGGGGATGAAGAGTTTCCTGTGGTCTTAAAGTATTCATTTAAAATCACACGTATGTGTAAGACTAAAATCCTCCAGGTGTTGACTCTCCTTCTAGGTTCTGAATCTATGTTGTACTCTACTGAGATTGCATGAGTAAATTCCAGTGAGTGAACCTCAGTGAGAAAGATAAGTGATATGAGGAGGGACATTACTGTATATTGAATTCTTATTAGTAAACATTTTGTCATGCAACATGAGTAAATCAATTAACTGAGAACTGTAATCAGAGTGGTAATTTGGGGCATCCTCATATCATAAAAGACTGTTGCAAGTAACTCTTTGGACACACTTCACCTTACCAAAAGGAACAAAATACAGAATAACAAAAACCACAGCAAATTATAGATCCTGTAACACATGTCCAATTAGGGCTGTATTTCTATAAATTATTTAGATTGGAATGAAAAGAACATTAAAAACACAGGAATTTCTTTTTTCCTGGGATTCATATCAGCAAGTATTCACCACTATACCTATGGTTTCTTCAAATACCCTTAATAACTAATACCTCCTATTATCAAAACTACTGTGAATTATTTACTCCTAATTACTTTTGCCCCTTAAAATCTTCTTTAGGCTCTGCCAATTGATAGAGGAAGCTTCTATTAAAGAATCCAATGGGATGAGAAGAATTTTAATTACGGCTTAATCAGCAGCACAGCCACCAAGCATATAAATTATCATGCACATCGTGCTAAAAATATCCAGTTTCCTTTATCCCCACAACTTTATACTGACAGCACTTATGTGATAATGTTGTACCTGCCAGTCTTTAAACTTCTTTGTTTTACTGGCAAATTTCAGCATGAGCCTCCGCTAAGGCCATTAACAGCATTGGTGCTTTGTGTACTTATCCAAATATGTAAATATGGTCTACACATTAAAACGGCTCCAAATAAAAACTGGTGAAAATTATCTGACATTCCATTGGTGTGTCCCTTGTGCATATTCATGGTTGTTTTTTTATTTTTATGTTTTATATTTCAGACATAGTTCTTTCCTGTTTGGTGTTCCACATGCCTAATTCCATTATGTAACATAAATCTTCAAAAAATTAATTCTTGAATGTGAATGAAAAAGTATCATTCAGAACAATTGCTTCAAGCAATTGAAATTCATTTTTAAAGTTGATTTGTTTATATATGTACAATTTATTTTTTTTCAAAACCCCCAAAGTTCTTGATATGTATATTCACATAATATTCCTCCTTATTTAAATAGTAAGAGTCTTGTAGGTTGAAAGCCAAGGAATCTTCAGTAATCTTTTACTGCAATCCATCAAAAAAATAGAGTTTGTTTCTCTTATCTGGCTATACCCTGGTTGTTGAATGTGAATGGGGGTGGGGGTGGGGATGGGGCAGAGTATTGTTCTGTCCTCCAGTAAATGTATTGAATGTGTGTAAGGGTTGAATCCCTGGTATAGTGTTGGGAATCATTGTAATGGTGTTGGGTGTCATTAAGGGAACATCATCAGGTGACCTCCTCATAGCTAGTGTGTAATCTGGGGGACAGGCGGTCCGAAGAACCACCTCATGTGGATGGATGGACTCACATTCATGATCCAAATCAGTGTGCTTCATTTGGAGGGACATGATCTCCTCTTCTTGTGCGTGGGTCAGATCGTTGGTAGTAGTGCGCTGAGGGCTGCATCTCCTATGAACATCATGTCTCCTCTTATCCTTTTTGTAGTACAGGGCTGCAAAGGCAAGGATATTCAGAAACAGCAGTGATGCTCCAACTGCAATAGTGACGCTCAGCTCTGTGGAGTAGTCCCTTTGATCCACTGAAAATGGACTTGGTTGTTGTTTGGGATCATCCTGCTTGGCAGTGGGAAATGCTGATGTGACAGGTACAGAATTCTTTCTTGTAGGTCTGAAAGTGATGTCGGTTGATGGCACTTTAGTTGTTGTCGAGGTATACTGAGAAATGTCATTGAGATTATGCAGATGAGGTACCAGCTCCAACCAGAGGTTCACCTTATTGGCTCTATAATGTTCTTTAACTCTTGGTTTCAATCCAATATGGAGATAGAGTTGATCTTTCTGGGAATATCTGGTCCATGCTACTTCTTCGAAGCGGTTGGGTTTAGTATGGATGAATTTCGTGTCTTGAGGGACTGGTTGATTCGGGTCACTAGGAAAGAAAAAGCACTATGAGAACAAAATTGTTTTATTCTTTTTCTTAATCAAAATAGTACTAGTTTAACATCGAATTGGAGAGGTAATTTAGCAAGTTAGCAAGGCCTTAGACTGTGTTGTTTTTTTGTTTTTTATTTTGTTTTATTATGTTATGTTAGTCACCATACAGTAGTTAGACTGTGTTTTAATAAAAACTGGGTCAATTTAGAAATACAGATCCTATCACAGGCAAGTTAGATGGATGATAATGTAATGAGAGTAAGCCTCATATTCTTGTTCTCTTTGCCCATTTAGAGATGGGCTACTATCTACCCAAAGATTTAAAAATTCATATACATATGCATTGTCTCCTAGGCAAACTAACAAGGACAGCATGGGATACAGGAAAAGACTTGAGTTTTGGAATTGGCAGATGAGGTTTTAAGTCCTAGTAGTGTTACATACAAGATATATGAATATCTATACGAGGATAGGCTCTCATCACTTCAGTCCCTTATTTGCAAAATTGATTAAACTTATTTTGTTTTTTTTAATTACACAAGACTTGTTATTTAGTAGTGATGGTATCATTTTATAGTGCTTTCCAATTTGCAGTATTATTTGCCCTTTGATCCTTATAACTTTTTTAGGTGGACAGGTCAGGTCTTGTTAATTACTGAGTAATGCAACAGAGATAGCAAAGCTTTCTTAGTGAACTTGTAAAAAGTAAGAACTAATAAAGCAATGATTTCTGAAAAGCACCATATAGAATTTTAAATAAAGAAACCTAATATATTATTGTCATGAATTTATTAAATGAAATCACTTGGACACAAAATGTGTATTATTTTAAAATGCTGACAAGGATATTTTTGTTAAATTATAGAAAACTTTATTCCTTAGGTACATACCCAGTTTTGGCAAAATTTGTCCAGTATGTCATTACAACTGCACTCAGCATCACATCATTTTTGGAAAAATTGCAAGGAAATAATTCTGTAGGTCCAATCATGGGGATTCCTAGTACGTAGGGAACTTCATCTCCATGAGCTGCATCAGCCCAAGCTGGAACCTGATCTGTTTGGCAATGATGGTAAAAGGCATAGAAGTATGTAGGTGAACCAAAGTTTGAGTGAAGATCTGCTGTAGCTACAGCTGGTGCTACCCACTGATGGTCTGTAAACAAAGCCAGTAATGTCTTCCTTCTGGTTTCAGGGTTATGACGGTCAGCCCAGTCAGTATACATGAATTTAATGGTTTCTCTCAAAACATCTTTGCCTTCAGGATATCCGTATAAGTTATCAACAAAATTGGAAACAGCGAAGTCAAAATCACTAGCTGATATACCATCATCACTATCTACTATATTTTCAACAAATTTTAACCCTTCCCCTTGGTTAACTCCTAACATTATATCATAGTTGAGAAACTCTCCTTGCTCCATCAATATCTGAGGGTCATCTGGTATTACATCACCATCAATCACAGGTCCAAAGGCTATGTGGTATCGTGCTGGTTGAATATCTTGGTCAACAAGTTCTTTGTAAGGCTTCTTCTGTAGGCATTCCACTAACTCTACTGTATCTGAAACATTGCAACCAACTTTTGTGGCCAACATTCTAGCATATTTTGCAGGTTGGAAACTAACAGCCCAGCTGGAAAGGGCTGTTCCACTTTGAGCTATGGCTCGTTGGAAAAGTCCTATGGGAAAAATAACAAAGAGTTTGAGATGACTTTTGAATAATGTTGTGGTAAACCAGTAACATCTGATATTTTAAATGTGTATATAAAAACCCATATACAACTCAAGAAACAGGAAGATAGAGACATTTTTGCTTAAGAGAAGGTATATAAAGTCATCCCCAGGGTATAAGGAGTCAGAGAGGTAGCCTAAGTCTTACGCTTTGAGTAGCAACTGCTTTAGGGATCAAGAGGTCTAAATTGTTTGGTGTCTCAGAGAGGCAATAAACAAGTAGAGATGGAGAATGTGTAAATATTAGTGGTAAGAAGTCTCAAATATTTTTTTCAATCAACATGTAAACACTCATGTTATTATAAAAGCCAAGCAGATGGGCTCTCTCCCCCCAACTCTTCATTAGACTTTGTATTGTTTTTGGGGAATATTTCTTCCAATTTGGCTGCATGTATCTTCCTTCAAAATGGCTCTGTATGTTTGTTTTATTCAGATTTATTAAAAAAAGAATTGTTGGGAGCTTACACAACTATTGGGGCTGGGGATTTGCTAATACCCTGGGGATGGCCCTGAAGGCACACAGAACAGAATATCACTTTAGACATACTCTTTCCAGCTCTTCATGTCAGACATAGTATGCTGAATATTCATCTTTCAGAAGAAGACATAACATTTGAAGTGTTTTCACTAGGTTAAAGAAAAAACCATCAGCAGAAGGATTCAGTGGGGGGTGATTTAACTTTTTCCACTGTTGAATGTGCACTGCTATATTTTATCATAAAAGATGGAAAATACATGGTCCACTGCTTTTAACTTAATTGCATTTAAGAATTATAAATCATGGTCCCATATGCAGTTTGATAAGAGCTGCATGCCATTCAAATTTACAAATGCACTTTATCTACCCATTAAGGTATTTTCAAATAAATTCTTATTTTAAAAACACAATTTATCTATTTCCTTTAAAAATTACATTTATTATCAATTTCCAAATATAGCTTTGTAGTTCAGTTATTTAAACACATGCTCAATTATTCATATGTGTTAATGAGATAAGAATTCTTTTCACAAAGGTGCTAAAGCAGTGTCTGAATTAGAAGCAAAGTTTTAGATTTTTCTCCAAACATATATATGTATTCAAAATGTCTATAATATGCTCCTAGATAATTCTAAAAATATTCAAAAAGTCAAACAATACCAATTTAAATTTTTTTGGTTTCTGACATCTTTATGAACATATTTTTAGTTTGCCAGAGCAAAGTATGCTAGAGCGAATGATATAAATACAGATAATTTTTAAAAATTACATAGGCTATGTGTTTGTTAACATTTACTCAGAGAAATATTTTACTAATTAAAAACTTTTCAACTAAAATAAACCTGGTGATTATTTCCCATTTCAGGGGCTCAATGACATTAACTAAATATACCAAAAAAGATTTGGGGAAAATGCACATCATATTAAATATAGTCTGAAATATGCCATCTAGATAGTATTGGAAAAATCATATATTTTATCATCAGTGAAAATGCTTATAATGTGTATACAACCTGTGGTTGATTCCTGGTATAAATAAGCCTAAGCATTGCTGCAGCTCTGGGGTTTTACAGACTTTAAATCTATGTCTGCATGGGAAACAGAATTAGCCTGATGATTTTAAGATATCTTCTGGGCATCTCCTGGTAAAAAAAAAAAAAAAACCAAGCAGCCTTTTTGTGGAGATAGGCTTAAGACTAAACCAAATATAAGTCCATTTCTCTGGCCTCACAAGGACGGTTTTCCTTGAAGAGTGTGATGAATATTATATTTTCAACTGTTGGCGTGGCCACTGGCCACTGTTTACCAAATCACCAATTGATGAATAGCAATGCTAGCTAATGAACTAATTAGCTTATCTCTTTATCAATTGCTAGTTTTAGATTAGTTGACTCGCTTTGGTGCCCTTTTGCTCTCCATTTAGAAAAACTTTTAGAATAAATAGGAAGAAATAACATTTGAGATCAAATGACCCTATGAAATCTGAACAGATTGTCTAATGTTAACCTATGTAAATATTGGCATTAGTACAGTCTTCAGCTACAACAGTCTAATCTCTTCAATGAAAAAAAAACAAAATTTGTTATTTCAAAATAAGCCACTTCATTACAGACCAAGATCTCAATACAATTGGAAATATTCTCTTATGTGTCATTTTGTCATCTCAAATCAGAGCTCTACTAACATAAATGAGATGTTACATAAAGTACATTTATAAATTAAGTCTATGATAATGTATGATTCTCCAAATATATATGCTCATTTAATGATAAGCTGTTCTTTGGAAATACCACATCAGTGTATCTTTGATACTGAAAACAAATATTCTATGTCTGATGCTCATATCATAAAACTCAGTCTTACAAATCAAGATGTTTCATGAATTACACTTGACAGCACATACTTCCTTAATATATATAAAATGACAACAAAAAAGCAGAAAACACAAAATGGTCTATGTTGATGTGTATTCTCTATCTTCCTATTATGTATAATGGAGAGAAAGTATTAGTTTTTGCAGATTTTTCCAACAAAACACTTCTGGTAGATATTTCAAGTTAATAATGCAATTAGAATGAGTGACTTAAACTCATGGTAAAGTGGGAATTCATAAAAAACCAACATGATGAGCCTTGGGCAGGCACTTTGGAAAAAGGGTGTCAAGGCCAGAAAATGTAGATAACAAAAATATTTCATGGGTTTATGCAGCCTCAATGTTCCATGCTGCTTTAAAGCCAAGCTTTACAGGGGGGAAAAAAATGAATACTTTTGAAGTTGAAAATAGAAAAAGCACAGATTTAAACCTAATTTTCCTTTTAATGAACAGCTCTACTAGTGACCTTGATGCTTTGACAATTTTGGATCATGCATGCAAAATAATCAAACATCCATTCTGTACTCAGACAACAGGTGAAAATATTGTTTCCAGACAAACCAGCTTATAACTGCTTCCTTATCTTCTTACCAGTAAAGAGTTTTTTACATGTCTATTGTCTTGAAAATAGATGATACACAATCCTTGCATTTAAAAAGAACCTGTCTTTGATTTTTGATTACTGAATAAACAGAGATGACAGAACTGTGAACATCTTTGATTTTCCCAAAAATCACCCTTTGAGAGGAAAGAAAAGTAACTGTAATTCTAACTATTCTGAAGTGTGCTTGAAAGGGCATTCTTATCAAGCTCCACAGGAGACAAAGAAAAGAGTTTGACAAAAATTGAAACATGCATAGAAAAGCTGAAGAAACAAAATTTTAAACAATTATTGAGCTCAACCTAACACTCAGTTTGAACAGAGAGATATATACAGAGCATCACATACTACTGATGGCGGTGGCATGCAGACACCAAAATTGTCAAAATTTGCAACCTGCATAATACCTTTGGTTGAATTGCTCCAACGGTTACCTTCAGAATAATGGGATAAAGTCAGAAGATTGACACATGAACCCCCAGCGCCAGATCCAAAAACAGTGATTCTTAAGGGGTCACCACCAAAGAATCCAATGTTCTCACTAGTCCATCTTAAAGCCTGTATGAGATCAAGGAGTCCATAGTTTCCTTTTGCAGCCTGATCCCCTGTGCTCAAGAAACCTGGAAGATCAAAATAAAAAGGTATCTTAGAACATCTTTTTGAGTTGACATGAGTCAGATAGACATTCAAATTAAATACAGTTGAAGCCTGTGTTCATCAAGGTGAGTAGAGTCCAAGTTCTTTAGTAAAAAGTTATTTCCCACCCGAATAAAAGAATATACTTTAGGAAGAACAGTAGACACTGAAATCTGAAAAATGACATTTACCTTCCCCAAGTTACCCAGGTAATAGGTAACAGGGGCAGACAAAGAGAATGAAAACATTCTGAAAAATCTCAGGGGAGACATTCTACCGGCCAAGTTACTTGGAGACATTTGAGATAGTACCATGGGGCATATGAGAATGTGCTTTTGCATAAAACACTGGGTCAGCAACTGTCAGTTGCTCACGTTCTAACATGGTTGGAATTTAAGGAATGTGTCGCAGAGTGGCAGGATGTGAGGGTGAAGAGCAGGGGTATTTTTCTAAGACTTGTTCATAAAATTATATGCAACTCTTTGCATATAAATGTATATATATGTGCATTTTTATCAAAGATGGTCCATGCTTAAGAAAGAATCACTGTGTTCGAGGTAATTTGGGGCCACATTTTGGAATACCTTAAATGCTAAACTCAGCATATTGGCACAATTAGAAAACAACATAGAATAATTGGAGATTTTTGAAAGATTCAGACTCATATCTAGAATGTTTAAAGCTCTGCTTTACAGTAAATCTGATAATCAGGAGGAATATATGTTGTATAAGAAAAAGAAAGGAGGTAGAGGAAAGGTTACAGGGATCTGAGCTGACAGAGTGGCAAAGACAATTGAAAAAAGGAGAAAAAATATGATCCTATAAGAACTGAGTGAATTTCTTATACATGGAAGTTGTTTTAGAGAGGAGTCAAGATATTACTTTAATAATGCTTTAAACATATTCATTTCACTGACTTGATAGCTTTTATAATGTTCATTATGACTTATAAAACAAATATCTACTCTTTAATATATTTCCACATTTGGTATAAATGAGAAAGTATAAAGTAATTCATAAAAGGGCGCCTGGGTGGCTCAGTTGGTTAAGCGACTGCCTTCGGCTCAGGTCATGATCCTGGAGTCCCAGGATCGAGTCCCACATCGGGCTCCCTGCTCAGCGGGGAGTCTGCTTCTCCCTCTGACCTTCCCCCCTCTCATGCTCTCTCTCTCTCATTCTGTCTCTCAAATAAATAAATAAATAAAGTCTTTAAAAAAAGTAATTCATAAAAGATTCCATTTTATTGACTATTCACATATTGTGTAGAAAATATTTAGAGATATACTATATATAAATTGATTATATTCAGGGATATAATTTCCAATTTCACCAAGTTTATAGAAATAATCTTTTCTTAAATTAGAGATATTCTCTTATTTCAGACTCATTATAGAAACTCAACATAAAAATAAAAATTATTTTGTTCAATTTGAAATATACCTTTATTTATTGAATATAGTTATTTTATAACTAAGTTAAGAAGTCAGTTATATTTGTATATATAACAGCACCTATCAGTTGAGTAAATCAATCTATACCCAAAATGAATATAGGGACAAGAAATTCTTTAGGGGGTGCCTGGGTAGCTCAGTTGGTTAAGTGACTGCCTTCGGCTCAGGTTATGATCCTGGATTCATGGGATGGAGTCCTTCATCAGGCTCCCTGCTCAGCAGGGAGTCTGCTTCTCCTTTTGACCCTTCCCCCTCTCACGCTCTCTCTCTCTCTCATTCTCTCTCTCTCGAGTAAATAAATAAAATCTTAAAAAAAAAAAGAAATTTGGGGCACCTGGGTGGCTCGGTCATTGGGCGTCTGCCTTTGGCTCAGGTCATGATCCCAGGGTCCTGGGATCAAGTCCCATATCGGGCTTCCCCCTCTCCCACTCCCCCTGCTTGTGTTCCCTCTCTAGCTCTCTCTCTTTCTGTCAAATAAATAAATAAAATCTCAAAAAAAAAAAAGAGAAAGGATTTAAAAAATTAAAAAAAATTCTTTAGGATCATTGTAGGAAGCAATAGATGAAGACAAATCATGAATAATTTTGCAAAAAAAAAAAGAAGAAATGAAGATGATTAGTCATTCTTTTCTACAAGACCAAAAAATTCAATGAAACAAAAACACAATCTCTAGTCCAGTGTGTGTGTGTGTGTGTGTGTGTGTGTGTGTGTGTGTGTGTGTGTAACACTGGAAATAAATCATCCTTGAGACGGAGGTTAACTTTTATTATTTTTTAAAATTTTTTAAAAAGTATTTTATTTATTTATTTGACAGAGAGAGACACAGAGAGAGAGGGAACACAAGCAGGGGGAGTGAGAGAGGGAGAAGCAGGCTTCCTGTGGAGCAGGGAGCCCGATGTGGGGCTCAATTCCAGGACCCTTGGATCATGACCTGAGCTGAAGGCAGTCGCCCAACTACTGAGGCCCCGAGTGCCCAGGAGGTTAACTTATCCAAATAAATACATCTTTCTGGTCATACTCATTCCTTTTTTTTTTTTTTTTAAATCTACATAACAATTTAAGGAAATTTTCATGGTATCTTCTTACAAAGAAGCACTTTCAGGAGCACCTTGGGTGGCCTAGTCGGTTAAGTAACCAATTTTTGATTTGGCTCAGGTCATGATCTCAGGGTCCTGAGATCAAGCCCCTTGTCAGGTTTCTTGCTGAGCATGGAGTCTGCTTGAGATTCTCTCTCCTCTTCCTCCTCTGACCCTCCCCTCCCCCTGTTCATGTGCCCACTCTCTCTCAAGGTAAAAAAAAGCACTTTCAAACACTCAATAGTCATATAAATGAGAGCCTATTAAAATACAAAACAAAAACATGGCAAGGAACCCTTTTGACTTTATTTTCTGTTAAGTGAATTTTGGTGTAAGACAGAACCATTTGTTTAAATTCCTGAAGGGCTCTGTTACAAATGTTTTGATCTATAAACATGGACTGATGGCATGAACCCTGAAAACAACATTATGGGAGGATTATAGGGTGATAGAAAGGACTCTTGAAGGATAAAGGAAGTGTGTGTGTGTGTGTGTGTGTGTGTGTGTGTGTGTGAGAGAGAGAGAATGAATGTGAGAATGAGAGCACATTCTAGGTAGTTTATTATCTGGATTTCTATATCACAAATACATTCAGATAGAAATTTGATTTCTGAATATAGCTTTTGCCACTCAGTGCAAACCCCAGGATTTGTATTTAATTCCTCTTGAAATAATATTGAATAATTCCAGTAATATTCAAATGAATCTCTATATTCATACAAAAGTGACTTACCAATAAAATAGTCATAATTCAATATGTAGCATGTGGAGAACCATGGTAAGACAATTATCTCTACATTAAAAAATATCCCCTTTATAATTCCAGTTTTAGTAGCACCATTTTAACCACTCTGGTAGGTTGGTCAAATAATTTTGTGTTTATATAAGAAACTTGTAAAAGCATATTAATTGCCTGAAGAGCAACTTCTATTTTTATATAATTTAAAGAAATCTTGTAGCATCTTCAAGAAAAAAAAAACTGAACAAAATCAATTCAATTCCAAAGTTGCACTGTTAAGTCATAGTACGGAAAATGGAGTAAATCATCAGGTAAAAGATTGTGTCCTAGGTAGGCTTGGAGTGTCCAAGCTACTCTGTCAAACTTCATTTTAACCTTTCATTCCTGAATTTCCTTCACTATTGATTTTTATTTCATGTGTATGCTGTAGCTTATCTATCTATATCATCTATCTCTCTAGCTATTATCTGTCTTCCAACTAAAAGTAAGTGATCATTAGCATGAAGTCAGAGAGCCACTATGAGTTTTAGATTAGGAAAAAATAATAGGTATCGGCTGCCTTTATTAAGGTCAGTCAACCAATCAAATCTATTTTTTAGACCCGATAAAATAATACTACATGCTTGTATGAATTCTTTGATTTCTGATGCTATATTCAAACAAAACTTTGTGGTTCAGCCAAGGGCGAAAAATGAGGAACATTGAGTAAATCACTGCCTCAAAAGACACAGTTTGCTAATTACCCAAGTGATGTGCATTGGCAGCATTCTTTATACCTGGCTATCCAGTGAAGTGTCATTTAAAGTTCTCTTTAAACTTGACTTAGCGCCTTAGTCCTTAACAGCAGAATTATTTCAGATCACTCTAGCTGGAACTTTGCATTGGACTGTTCAACTGCACTCCAGCTGTGGCAGAACCCAATTTTACAAAGGTCCTAAAGTGTTGCTTACCTTCATGATTACTTTGGAAATGATTTTTCCCAATGTCACTTAAGTCATTCCCTATAGTCACTCACCTTATCTACCTCTGCTGGCCTTCAATTGTAAGCTCCTAGAACATATGACTAATTGACATCCTGATGCAATGACACATTATTTTTGTAAGATAGAACAATAATGATTACATGATCTTCTCTTTTTGGGGGAGATAGCAACAGAATTTTCCAGAAAAGAATATTCAACTGTTTAATTTACTTGGCTCTTGAGTATAAAACCTTGAAAAAATTATTACTTTGAAACTCAAGGTAAACTTTCAAAATTCATAATTACAAGTATGCCAAGAGTTATTTTAGTGGCTCATGTATATACTACAATTCTCATTCAACTATGTATTCAAATAGAATTTATTTAATACCATTCTTCCCACCTAAAAATTCGTCCTATTAAAAAACATCTCCAATCATTGTTTTTCCTACATGGACTGATGAAATTTACTGAGCAGGTTTGGCATCAATGTGATGTTTACCTGATCTGGCAAGTAGGATTACTTTCAGGGGTTAGTGAGAAACCAAGCAACTGAACATGGGTCCGCAGGCCCTTGGAATGGAAAAATCAGATCAGGCATAAAATAAATTGGCAAGAGGAAAATAAATAAAACCAGATAATCACTGTAACCAGGTATTGGTTTGAGCTACTGATGTCCACCAAATTTAGATGGGCAGACCTGAAGGAATCTGAGAGAAACTGAGTTAAGTTGTCTGGCAGCAGCCCTGCAGCTGA